CCCCAAAACCCCAAAACCCCAAAACCCCAAAACCCCAGGTTCAGTTAATTCACTTAAAAAAAGTAAAATTAATTATAATCCAAATAAAATGTTAAATTAGTAGAATAATGGCAATCCTTAATACCAAAGAATGAGTCTTCAAGATGATACCTTCCAGAGTATTCTTAATAAAAATGATGCGCTCTTCACAGATAGTAATCTTTCTATTATTTCAACTGCATTTATTAGGGGACAACTAAAGGATTTATGAGAGTGTTAATGGACCATTAGTTAAGTCAAGTGATAAAATTGAAACGAAAATGATTGAGGAAAAATACAATACTATGACTAGTTATCAGAGATTCTCCAACCTCAATGATAAATTTGTGCCAAGGAAATACAACTTCTCTCCTGAGATGAAAAACCAAACTCACTCATTCAGATCAAGTTAGCTTAGTGAATTGACTGGTACAACATTAAATTAGGTGAGAAAAAGTAAAAAGCTAGTTCAAGGTGATGTGTAGAAGTTGCATAACAGAATTAGAATGCTTCAGTTGGAAGAAGAAAGAGCTTTAAAAAAGATAGAGGAAACCCGAAAAAAGGCTAAGTAAATGCTCGAAGTAAAAGTGGCTAACGAAAAAAAGAGAATTAAGTTAAATAACTCTCAGACTCCAGTTAGAAACTATAGAAACCTAGCAACAGCTTCAATCTTGAACGATGAAAAAGAAGATCCTCACCAACTGCACATGCTATAACTGGAAAGAAGTTAGAAACGGAAATAGGAAGAAATCTCAATGATTAGAAAAGAGAAGAAACTTATTTAAAAGCGTAAATAGCAGATTGATAAAGCATATATCAGGAAAAATCAAGAAAGAAGAAATGAGATTTAATAGTAGATTAAAGAGGCTCATGATAGAGTTGAAAGCGAAAAGAAAAGAAAATTAGATGAGAAATTAAAAATGAAGGAGAAACTGATACTGTCAGAAGCTAAAAATATTAAGAAAAGAGAAAAGGAGGCAAGACAGCTTGAGCTGTTAGAAGCAGAGATAGTATAGAGACTAAAAGATACACATCTGCAATAAAGAGAAGCTATCCAAGAAATTGAGAAGATATTTAAAGGCAATAATAATTGAGTTATGTACTAAGATGTCTAATATAGAGAAGAAATTTGAGATTGTTTTTAATTATATTTTCATCCTACAATTATAATTATGTGTGATCTTGACATATTTTTCATCTTGGGGTTTTGGGGTTTTGGGGAGATCGGAAGAG